GAGTCCCGCATCGGGCTCTCTGCTCCTTGGGAGCCTGCTTCTCCCTCTGCCTCTCTCTGTCTCTCATGAATAAATAAAATCTTTAAAAAAAAAAAAGAACCATTAAAAAGGATTGTTCTCTCCAGTCCCAGAAATTTATCTCAAAAAGAGAATTCCAAAGAAGAAAAAAATGCTGTCTAAACAAAATGTTTACAGCACTCTTGTTTTCAGTATCAAAAATCTGGGAAACAACCTATATGTAATGGACTAGTTAAAACTGTGGGTTTAAGAATAACACCACAACCGTTCAAGATGACAACCATGGAAAAACACAGGAATGTATTCATTAATGTTAAGTCAAAAAAAGTAAGAGAAAACCTCCACATGGCACATAAGACAGAAATAAAACTTGTGTGTATACACGTAAACAAAAACTTGAAAGTAAACTAAAAATTAAAATAAATATGGTTGGCTGAGTTACTGTGATGGGATTACAGACACCTTTGGATTTTCGTGTATTATTTTTTACACTTTTTTTTCTTTTTTTTTTTTTTTGAGAGAGAGCGGTGAGGAGACACAGAGGGGGAGAGAGAGGGAGAGAAAGAATCTTAAGTAGGCTCCATACCCAGCACGGAACTCAATCTCACAACCCTGAGATCGTAACCTGAGCTGAAATCAAGAGTTGGACACTCAACCAACTGAGCCACCCAAGTGCCCCTCGTGTATTATTTTTTAAACGGAGACCTTCCTGTATTTTCCCTCACTCACAAGTTCAGTTAAAAACACCAGAAACATGGGTCACCTGGGTGGCTCAGTCGGTTGAGTGTCCAACTCTTGGTTTCGGCTCAGGTCATGATCTCATGGGTAGTGAGATCAAGTCCTGCATTGGGCTCTACACTCAGCAGGGAATCTGGTTGGAGGTTCTCTCCCTCTTTCCCTCTCCCCAACTTGTGCACACATGCTTACTCGCTCTCTTTCTAAAATAAATAAACAAATCTTACAAAAAACAAAAAAACCCACACCAGAAACAGTTACTGCCTACTCTCTACTTCATGACCCAATACGAAAGACAAACAGGGTGCTCCGGAGGCAGAGAAGCAGCACCTCGCCCAACCTGGTAGGGAGGGTTTCCTCTATGAGGTGACATCTGAGTTTTCTATTTTCCAGACATGGACTTTCTCTTCTTTGCTTGATTACCATTCCTTAACCATCTCTATGAAAAAATGGTTAGGTGAGGGGACCGGAAATTTATACTATATATGAGAACTTTTTTTTTTTTTTTTAAAGATTTTATTTATTTGAGAGACAGAATGAGAGAGAGAGCACATGAGAGGGGGGAGGGTCAGAGGGAGAAGCAGACTCCCTGCTGAGCAGGGAGCCCGATGCGGGACTTGATCCTGGGACTCCAGGATCATGACCTGAGCCGAAGGCAGTCGCTTAACCAACTGAGCCACCCAGGCGCCCCTATGAGAACTTCTTAAATGACAAAAGTGCTGCCATATAGGAGAGTAACCACCAGTTCATTGTCCCAGATAAGAAATGAATAGAACACTTACTTGCTCCTTTTCAAACTGGATTATTTTCCTGAAAAAATCAACTGAAAATGGACGGCTTTCCTGTAAACTACAGAAAAGGAGAAAACGGTTATCGTCCAAAGAGACAACAAGCCTCTTACATCCCATGACTCTAACTATATCCCTATGCCTGCGCCTCCACAACGCATGGTTTAATAAAGACCTGGCCACAAACACTGGATTTGACCACCAGTCACTCTCAACACTTTCAGTGTCCAGTGACTTACTCTTCACCCCCACCAAACTCTTTCCTACCCAGTTTTCTTCCTGTTCTCCTCTTCCCCACTTTTATAGTTTAAAGTTCCCTATACTGCATCTCAAGGTCTTTCTGAAGGAGACCAATAATTCCGCTTCTAAGAATATATTCTAAGGAAGTAATTTCCAGTATGAACAAATAATATTTGTGCAGAAATGTTCACCAAAGCAGTATTACTATGACCATCTAAACCACGGTACATGCCCAGAGCGATGTACCATACAGCTATTTCTAATGAATGACGTTCATGAAGAACTATTACTGACAGGAAAAAGGCCAGTGCAATGTTCACCAACAAAAGCGGTATACAAAATGTGATTATAGTATAATCTCAAACATGCAAAAACAAAGGGTTTTTTTTTGTTTTTTTAAGATTTTACTTATTTATTTGTCAGAGAGAGAGAGAGTGAGAAAGCACAAGCAGGGGGAGAAGCAGTGGGAGAGGGAGAAGCAGGCCCCCCTCTGAGCAAGGAGCCTGATGCGGGGCTCGATCCCAGGACCCAGGGATCATGACCTGAGCTGAAGGCAAACGCTTAACTGACTGAGCCACCCAGGTGCCCCGAAAACAAAGTTTTTAAATGATACATTAAGCATGTTTTTTTCTCCTGATTACAATGAGTTAATAGTTATCTCCCTCTTTTTTTAATTTTCCACCAACAAGTATGAACTGCTTTTACCGTTCAACAAAAGACTTTCTGAAAAAAATCTCTTGGATTACTTCCTCAGATACTGTTTGCCATACATATAACCTGGGCATGGGAGGCTGAGTGCAGGGTGGGGAGACAAATAACAGTGATGAAAGTTTGTGAGCACCTTTTAAACACAGCTCTGGCCTTTTTGTAGCCACCGCTTCGGTAAGCCCAATCCAGGTACTTATCCTTCAGAGTGACTGAGTTAGCACCTTTGACAGCTAAGAGAGCTTTCTACAATTAAAAAAAAAAAAAAAAAAAAGACACAAGCTACATGAGGATATTTATAAATATCAGAACAAATTTTCCCAGAACCATCCCAGGCTGCTCAATTAACAGTGCTTTAGGAACATCTGCTATAAAAATAACCCTAAAACTAGCCAACTAGTGAACCTATCTGCTCATTCCCCACCCACCACAAGACTCAGAACGTAAGGCCTAGACCTTAAAAATGGCTTCTGTGTCTTCTTGGCTTTTGGCACCTTCACTCCACTCTGCCCAAGAAATCCACAATGGCAGACAGACCTGGTCACAGTGAGAAAGAAAAAAAAGTTAGAAATTGATGGCTTAGTTCTATGCTCTGAAAACTAGTCACCATAAAGACAGGCTCCTACTGAGATACTCAATATGTAAAATACGGATTCACTCCCAGTCTGTCCTCACCATGACCAAATTCTCAGTGCCCAGTAGGGATGGCCTGCCAGAGCACAGACAGACTTGTGACCAAGACCCCCAAAGCAGCACTCTCCTGTCAAAACTAGCACCCTTCTGTTGGAGTACTACCTACAGTTATTACCATCAGCTATCTGTGAATTAAGCAATGAAGTGTCCATAGCTGGTTAGACCCACAGCTACCCAGGTCACATCTCTGCTGTCTAAGACCTACGACATAAGTACTACTTAATCCAAACTCAATTATCTGATCTTCACTCATGCCCCAGAGACACACACAAATGAGAATTAAGATTTTTTCCCCACTTTAACTTCCAGAATACTTTTTTCCTAATATAAAAGGGGGTGCCTGGCTGGCTCAGTCAGGAGCGTGCAACTCTTAATCTTGGGGTTGTGAGTTGAAGCCCCACACTGAGTGCAGAGATTACTTAAAAATAAAATCTTAAAAAAAAAGATTCTAGAAGGCACATGGGTGACTCAGTCAGTTAAGTGTCCGATTCTTGATTTTGGCTCAGGCCATAAGCTCAGGGTTATGGGACCGAGCCCCAAATCGGGCCTGCGCTGAGCAAGTAGTCTGCTGGAGAGTCTCCCTCTCCCTTCCCTTACCCCTCCCCCTCTGCTCTCTAAATAAATAAATAAATATCTTTTTAAAAAAATATTGACTGCAAAGCTTTAAGATTTAGAAATATGTGTCTGTTTAGGGACGCCTGGGTAGCTCAGTCAGTTAAGCATCTGCCTTCGGCTCAGGTCATGATCCCAGGATCCTGGGATGGAGTCCCACATTGGGTTCCCTGCTCAGCGGGGAGTCTGCTTCTCCCTCTTCGCCTGCCGCTCTCCCTGCTTTGTGCTCTCTCTCTCTCTGACAAATAAATAAATAAAATCTTAAAAAATATATATATATATATATATATATGTCTGTTTAAAACTCGAGCTTTGGAGGGGCCTGGGTCGCTCAGTCGGTTAAGTGTCCAACTCTTGCTTTCGGCTCAGGTCATGATCTCAGGGTCATGAGATCAAGCCCCGCATTGGGCTCTGCACTAGGCACAGAGTCTGCTTGTCCCTTCCCCTTTGCTCCTCCCCCTGCTCTCTCTCTCTCTCAAGTAAATAAAAACTTAAAAAATAAAATACATAACTCGGGCTTAAATACAGCTTTGGAAGCAAGGGAGAAAAATACTCAATATTTCTCACTTATAAGATATCAAAATAAAATGGAGAATTTCATATAGTCTTTCTTTTTTTAAAAGATTTTATTTATTTTTTGACAGAGAGAGAGAGACAGTGAGAGAAGGAACACAAGCAGGGGGATGTGGGAGAGGGAGAAGCAGACTTCCTACTGAGCAGGGAGTCTGACACGGGACTTGATCCAAGGACCCTGGGATCATGACCTGAGCCGAAGACAGACGCCTAATGACTGAGCCACCCAGGCGCCCCTTATTTAGTCATTTTTCAAATAACAAATTAGAAATAGGCTAGTAAATGGAAGGGAATTCTTCCACTCCTGACCCTTGATATAGGCACACATGCACTCTGGGGCCAGCCCTCATCAGACAAGCACACTTCAAATGAGCTTTGGCTCAGTCTCAAAAGGTTTCCCAAACACAATGAAATACAAAAAACCCAACTCACAGACCTGGGCTTTCAGATGCACAAAAGCTTCTTCAAAAAGCCCGGCTACATCAGGGCTCTTAGAGTCAATCAGCACCTGCAGCTTCATCTGCCACATCGTCACGGAGTCTCTAAACGATTCAGTCCCGGCTACTGCTACCTCCAGAGCTTCCTTTAAAAAGTCCTGATGCAGCAACAACTCGATCTGGGTAAGACAAAGGATCACTGGAAAATTATCCACTGAAAGCTAGATCATCTACGTGGGGTGGGGGGGGGTGGGGGGGGTAGGGAGACAAAAAAAGACCTCATTTAAGGCAGTGATTTCAACATCATCTCCACTTAACCTTTGGCAATGGCTGCCAAACAGGCACAAAGTAAACAATCAAATTCTCTTCCATTGCCTGCTCTTATTCCTAAAGGCCACCAAAAAATAGGTAAGACGTACAAAGTAGAGGGCCTAAATAATTTAGACTGAAAGTTAAGTTTTTAATAGTTCACTATAATAAAACCCACACCCACCAAACAGAATATAAAAATCAGACAAAACCAGTATTTGTGGGTTGATAATGAAACATGTTTATTCATTCAAATGGAGTTGGGCACACAATCAACTGGTACCATTTTTCTGAAATGTAATTTGACACTGTGTAACAAGAGTCATGGAAGTGTTCATATCTTAAACTTGGAAATTTTAACAAATATAAGCCAACACAGAAGGAAATCTTACATGTTCAAAATGCTTAAATCCACACTATTTTAACAGAAGAGGGAAAAAACCTAAAACCAATTCAATTTTTTTTTTTTAAGATTTTATTTATTTATTTGACAGAGAGATAGAGAGAGAGAACAAGTAGGCAGAGGGAGAGGGAGAAGCAGGCTCCCCGCCGAGCAGGGAGCCCGATGCGGGGCTCGATCCCAGGACCCTGGGATCATGACCTGAGCTGAAGGCAGCCGCTTAACCGACTAAGCCACCCAGGCGCCCCAAACCAATTCAATTTTTAAAAAACTGTGGAACAGCAAATAAATGGCAATATATAGTCTGCTCATTCGACAAGCATTTTTATTGCTCACTATACATGCTAGATTTAATAATGAGGAAATCAGGTACGTTCTCCACTGCCCCAGGGCCTCAAGTCTAGAAGTAGAGACGGTCTGATATTTGCCTTGACAGAAAAAGAATCACATGCTATAAGAGTACAAAGCAGGAACACCCAACAGGGTCTTTGGCAGCTATGAGACAGAAAACACCATTTATGCTAGGCTTAAGGAAGAGTAGGCATTAGTTAGAGAAGGCTCTCCCAACAAGCATGTGCATAAGAGACAGCTTATGTTCTCATAAGGATACAAAAGGAAATCCAAGTTCAACATGGCTGAAGGGGTAGAATGTGTACTAGAGAACTGGCAAGTGAGGCCAAGCCGTATTAGGGAGAATGACCAGCTTTATCCAAAGGACAGTGGAAGCCACAGAATAATCTGATCGGTTTTTAAAGCTCATTCTGTGGAGAATAATGTGGAAAAACGATGGATGTAGGAATCAGCTAAGCATTTTAAGTTTAGAGGCAGTATACTGAGCAGCTCTCATTAAAGGCAAGGGCACCAGAGTGATGAGGTAAATGAGGTAGTAGGCTTAGGAAGGGCAGCATCAGAGATTTGGGGAGCAGAGGATGTCTGAATAGCCAGAGTGGTGAATGACCAAATAGCAGGGCTGCCACAGCAATACTCAAAGCAAAGTCCACCTAAATTTATAGGGGGTGACTGTCCTGCCAGTATTCAATAGCTCAAATGGGAGCAGCTGAACTCATCCAAGCCTGGGATTTTTCCCAGATAGATGCCATAATGGGAAAAGGGTATCTCAGTCCTGGTATAATACAGAAAACTAGTATATGCATTACCTAGCTATATGTAAAAAGTATTTTTTAAATGTTAACGTATGAACATTTCTGTACATGTCAAGAACTTTGTGAGCTGGCAAAAAAAAAGATAACTATCACTATTTTAAAATCAAGTAAACAAACTCAGAAAGGTTAAGTGGCTTGCCCAAGTTACCTAGCTATTAAGTGACAAAACCCGATCTAGACTACGTATTCCTTCAGCACATTATCCTGGTCGCCGTAATAATCCTTACCCACCCCAGAGAGCAGGGATGGGTTAATAAGCTTCTTACTAAAATATCAGCTTCTAAAACATAGGAACACATCTAATTTGTCTTTATCGTTACCATACCAATTGTTATTCTGGGTCAGGCATACATTCAGGAAAAGGATGTTCAGGAAAAGATGGATGGGGAGACAAACAAAATAAATCCAACTTGTGACTCCTTATTCTGAGTGTTTCCCACTATATAACATTCCTCCCTTTACTGGTACACATTTCACTTTTGGCATACACCAAATACTGAGAGACAAATGTAATGTCTCTGCGTCTTCCAATCCAAACTTCCAAATGGGCTTAGTCATATAACTATATATTAAAAACACATGACACCAGCAGGAACCAACTGGAATTAAGTATGTGTTATTGGCAGTGAATGTGTCCTTACCCACTGCTTGTACTGGAATTCTGGTAGAAGTCTGAGTTCATGTGCCTTCCTGAATGCCATCATGGTTCTTTCCAGCCTCTGAAATCAGAAAAATCCTTCAGTTCATTATAACATCCCAGCAGGGGTCTTTGGCCTCTGACAGGAACAAGTGCAGTTTTGCACATTTCTGAAAACAGAGAGAAGGAACTTGAAGTGGTTTCACTTATGATTAGACCAGCCAAAAAGCGGCACCAAGCACAGTCCAGTAAGAGAGCGCCTCCTAACCAGGTGGCCCGAATAAGGATGCAGCAGACTCAGACCTTTAGAATGACTAGGTCACCCACAAAGAGAAAGAACTTAGGTTAAGCATGAAGCTCTTGGAAGCTGTCCCAGGCCCCAAAGGAGCCATGTGTCTGCTCTTCTTCCAGAAAACAGTCACTTTCTAGTCAGCCACTATAAGCATGTAACTTAAGTCCCTTACCCTCTCTCTGAGGAACTGACTGCTGGTCTTCTTAGTGAACCTTTCCAAGCAGAAGTTGATGTAACACTTCCACATGGCCTCTGGAAAAGTCAGAGAGATTACACTGATCAGATCGCCAGTCTCTCTGTTTAACAGTCATCATACATCTTTTCTGTGAAGGAAAGATTCCCCAGAAGAAGAATTTAAACTAGTCTTGTAAAAAAAAACTAGTTATTCCCATTACAACCAATCAACATCTCAAACACTGGGGGGAAAAGCAACTGAGTAACCACATATAAAAAGTAAAAGCCTCGGGGGTGCCTGTGCCTGGGTGGCTCAGTCAGTTAAGCACCTGCCTTCGGCTCAGGTCATGATCCCAGGGTCCTGTGATCGAGCCCCACGTCAGGCTCCCTGCTCAGTGGGGAGCCTGCTTCTCCCTCTCTCTCTGCCTACCGCTCTGCCTACTTGTGTTCTGTCAAATAAATAAATAAAATCTTTAAAAAAAAAAAAGTAAAAGCCTCATCCATGTTATATATCCCTTCTACCTTAATACTCCCATATTATAAAATCTGAAAGTAAATCTGTGTCAAAAGATAATTAGGGAAGGACAATCTTCTGAATTACTATTTCCTAAGTATCATCTCCCCCAAACAGATGAACATAAACATCACTACTGTCGAGGAAAGTCATAAAAGCTCCATCTTCCACCAGCAAACAAGAAGTTGGAAAGCCAGGCACATGGTCAACTAACACAGAAAGATTCCTGAAAACTGATTTTGGAAAAAGAAACAGAAGCTTCGGTTTCACATTTGTGAATACTACCACTTGTATATCACACCAAGGTCTGGCGAAGTTCACCTGTGGGGAGAGTCTTTACTGCCTCTTCATACACAGCACAGCACCTCTCCTCCTTCCGGCCCACCTCCACTGCTCTGGCTTGTTTCGTGGCAGGCTGCTCTCCAGCTGGCTGCATCTCCATCACTAATTCTCGCCGTGCCACATAATCCCAAGTAAGAGGGTCATCTGTGTGCAGAGCCTGAAGGCTGCAAAGTAGTTTACTCGTGTCAGCCCTATGACATGAGACTAACTCAGAATATCAGAGACAGTTCCCTATGCTCTAAAAACGGACCCAGGACACCCCTTTAACAATTCCATTACCACGAGACAACTCCCCACTAGGCTCTCCAGATAGCTTCACACTCACCATATAAATTTTGTCAATCGATCAGAGTTGTGCCACATTAGGTTTCAGAATGTTTTAGATATCATTCTCAAATGTTAATTTTCAAGTTAGCTCTCAAAGTCAAATCAACAGGTATGTGTGACAAGACAATTCTCTTCAAGCCCTGGAGAACCTTATTATATCCAGGCTCTTGATTTTCTATAATAGAGGCAAAGAAAAAGCACAACCTAATCCTCTACCAAAGCCCTGAAAAATCCAAAGAGCAAACTGATCCAAGTTCTATTTTATCTCCTGTGAAAGTAAGGGGTGCTACGTAAGAGTGAAGTACTCATAAGGTAGGCTGCAAATAATTCTCAAACCATACGCTCAAACATTAAAGAATAAAATTACCTGCAGCAATCAACTATAAACATTCCCAAGGACCACTCTCATTTTATGGACAAAAGACATGCCAGCAAAGCAGGAATATACATTTTGATATAAGCTGTAGGATATCTGTTATTGAATAAAGGCAAACTATTTCCCAAGGGAAGCCCATAAGGGTGTCAAACAACTTTTCCAGCAATCTATTTTTTTATATAACTTACTATGATACAACAGTCCTAAAACTTTGCTTTCTTCCAAGGATTTAGCGTGGTAACTTCTCTCCCCCTTTCTAAACACCCAATCTCAAACTTTTACCACAAGATTAGAAATAGACATATTCACCTTTCCATGACTTTACTTACTCATCATAAATTTCTTTTTGCAGATCTGTGGCAAAGTCGAATAGCTGTGCAATTGAAAGCAGTGACACATGAAATTCTGCACCTAAAATTTAAAAAGTGGGGGAGGGGAGTAAGACTCTCAAGTATCATTTTACTCTAAAGTATCACTTTCTTCTATAAGAAAGTACTACTTTCTTATATGCTAGAGTTCTTTTGTTTTGGGGTTTTAATTGAGAAATAGGACAAAACAGATAAACAAAGCACCCACTACACAATCAAAACCATTACTGATATTCGGGAGTATTCATAAGTTCTTCCTTTCTTCTAAACTTCTTCCCGATATAAAGAAATGTTCTAAATCACCTGTTTCTTTTCAACACCCCCCCGTGACTAAAATACTCAATAAACTTACTGAAATGTTCAAGTATATCCTAAGGGGCAATCAACCTTTTCTTAAAGAAAGAGAACACTATTCGTACAGAATTTTTATGCACAGTCTAACAGAATTTCTAATAGAAAATTTCCAAATTAGCTAAAGGTCTTTCTTATTATAAATAGAATGTTTCACTCTCCCATCATAAATAAAATTTCAAAATATGCGTACCTTTAATTATGCTTACAGAATTTTTGTAGATGATCCGTGCCAACTCGCCCTTAAGGATTTCTTCAGGATAATCAAGATTCCCCTAAAGCATATTATATTAAACATAACTTAACAGATAGGCCAGTAACTAGAAAAAGCACCAGGATGAAAATTAACAGTCCTAGACTACCTGTGCCATATGTATGACCTCTGGCAAATCACGTCTCTCTCTGGGCCAGTTCCCTCACTTGTAAAATGTGCAGCCTGAACCAGACCACTGAACTTGCACAGTGAAAGTTCTCTCAGGCTCCTAGAGTGATAGCAAGATCACACGGCTTAAGGTCGGACTCTCTACTTAGACCCAAACAGGTGAGAATTTACACACCTTGCTTATCCTTATGTGTCAACTCTTATTTGAATAAAAAAGTTCACAGCTGGAAACCACAATAACAGATGACAGCAAAGTTCCTTTTTCAGCTCTAACATTCTAAAACTTCTTTAAAATTACTGACACCAAAAAAATTGTATAAAACAAAAAAGAAAGAAGGCTAGGAACCACAGATTTCATAACCCCCCCTCAAACTCCTTCAACTGATTAGTATGTCATTTAATGAAACTATAAAGTATTAAAGAAGACCATTTACCATTCCATCAGTAATAAATAATCTTGAGGACTACTTCAATTACTCCAAATGTCTATTTTTAAAGCACAAAATTCCATTTTTATTAATAAGCCCATTTAATTAAATCAACTCTAAAGTTTCAAAATAAGACATTAAATTGGGAACAAAAATACCTTCCAAAAATTTTCTCTTACTCCTAAACAGGCTCGAAACACTACAAATTGTTGACATGGAACAACACACTCGGATCTTACCACATCCATTTTGGCTTTTTCAAATTCTTGTTTTTCTTTCCTCAGTTTCTCAGCATGCATCAACTCCATCCTAAAGTACTATACAAGGGAAAAAATAAACTAAAAACCTTTGGAAATAATTTCTTTTTATCAGAAATACATAAGATGTCATTTTACACCCATTAAGTATCAGATCTGGGAAAGTCCAGGAGTAGTATAATATTTTGTTATGAAACTAGCAAACATTTATAAGGAAGGAGATCTTTGTGATGGTAGAACAGCTCTGTATTTTGATTGTGGTAGTGGTTACACAAATCTACACATGTAAAAAAAAATGACATAGAACCATATGGACACATCATACCAATGCTGATTTCCTGATTTTCATATTATGTAATTTTATAAAATGCAACCATCAGGAGAAATTGATTAGTGGAATGCAGGACCTCACTGTACTATCTTCATAATTTCCTGTCAATCTATAATTATTTCAAAATAAAAAATCAATGGCAAATATTTACCGTCAAACATTATGAAGAAAAACTCATGCACAACTAACATGTAAACTTGGACATCCCCAGAATTTTTAGTACTTTGAACTTTATGTTACAAGACATGTGAAAATAACAAGTTCTTAAAAAATGTTTATACCGTAGGGCACCTGGGTGGCTCAGTAGTTTGGGCGTCCAACTCTTGGTTTCAGCTCAGGGCATAAAAAGGAACTTTGTTCAGAGCATGATCTCAGGATCAAGAGATCAAGGCCTGTGTCTGGCTCCGCACTCAGTGCAGAGTCAGCCTGAGATTCTCCCCTCTCCTTCTGTCCCTCCTCCCGCTCACATGCATGCATGCATGCTCTCTCTAAAATAAATAAAATCTTTTTTTTAAAGATTTTATTTATCCATTTGAGAGAGAGAGAATGAGAGAGAGCAAGCATGAGGCGGGGGGAGGGTCAGAGGGAGAAGCAGACTCCCCGCCGAGCAGGGAGCCCGATGCGGGACTCAATCCC